AAAGTTAGTGCTTTTCCATTATATCTACCTGCACATTTTTTTAACAAAATGTATAATTACAATTTTTCCACATTTTCAATATTAAAAATATTCATAAAAGTAGTAAAATGCAATCACATTTTTCTTGGGCAGTATTGGAGTTAAAACTCAGGGCTCACGCTTGTCAGGTAGGCACGCTACTACTTGAGCCATGCTCCCAGTCCTTTTTTGCTTATTTTTCAAATAGGCTCTCAAGTGTTTGGTGCCAGCTTTGGAGTTTTTTCTTCCATCAGTGCCTCCCGCATAGCTGGGATTACAGATGTGAGCCACCATGCCTGGCCCACAATCATGATTTTTTTGGTATGTGTCTGCTACCCTTTAATTCGTTTTTCAACAATCAGGGCACACAAAAATGAAGAGTTGAAAAGTATTCTGAAATATACTTAAAATGTGACTTTGTCACTTATTCACAAATATAAAATACAAAAATGTATAAAATGTTTTCTTAAATAAATCTTTTGCAACAATTTTTAAAGACATTTTATAATAAATTTCTAATCTTAACTAAGTTATATGATCTTAGTGCATGAAAAAGGTTAAAATACAGATAATACAAAAAGGAAAAGAAAATGGCTCCAATTCCAACAGCCAAAGATAATCATTATTTCAGTAAATATTCTCCCGAAGGTTTCTTTTTTATTTATTTATTTATTTTTCATTTTTCTTTTATTATTCATATGTGCATACAAGGCTTGGTTCATTTCTCCCCCCTGCCCCCACCCCCTCCCTTACCACCCACTCCGCCCCCCCCCCCATACCCAGCAGAAACTATTTTGCCCTTATTTCTAATTTTGTTGTAGAGAGTATAAGCAATAATAGGAAGGAACAAGGGTTTTTGCTGGTTGAGAGCTTGTTTTCCTAACTGCTTGGTGGTCCTGTCAGAAGCCTGTGAGTGGCAGGGACTCAGTGTTTTGATATATGCATCAAACTTATTTCTGATGTGCAGTTCTGTCCTCTAACTGTGGAGGTCTAGTATTAGCATTACAGGATTTCTTTCTTTCTTGAATATGTGTCTTTCTCCCAGACACATGGTAATAAGTTCTCCAAATGGAGAAGTCTAATCTTCACAAAAGGCATTTTATTTTTACTTTTGAGAAGTTGTCCTTCATCTCTTTGAAGGATACTGGAGGGTATTTCTTGGCTAAAAGAAGGCCAATTGCAGAAAAGGATTATGTTTTACATTAATGCACAAAAGATGGCTTTAAATGCCTGATCAGGGATTACACTATTGTCTTTACCAAAATGACCATGTCTTAGTATGGATTTTGCAAGGTTTTCTATAACCAGAAATGGTCTCTGTAAGTTTTACTACTACTATTGTAATGGAACTCAGGCCTACATGATTTCTACTCCCTGGCCCCTGCAGTTCTGGTGACTGATAATCTATCACTACTACCTTAAGGGTACATAATAAAGGGAGGTAGTAGGCTGGGAGGAAAAGATAAGTTGGGTGGCACTTATACAAACTATTGATAGCACTACTGGAGTTGAAGATGTGGAGGAAAAGAATGGCAAATAAGAAATAGGTGACATGGGGATAGTCAACAGTCAGTCAACACAAGAGGACTGGGTAGCAGCCCTGCCAAGAATGCTCTGTATGACAACTTTCGACTACTCAGCACTTGTGTAATTTATTGTGTCAGGCATACCCCAGGCTCACTAACTCTAAACTCTGATGTATTCCCTCACAACACTCTACACTACAGGTGCCAACATATCTTAGCCCTCTAACCTCCCACCATTTTTCCATTGATAAAATGTAAGATAGAAAATGAAGTTGAGGTAATTATCTCCTGCAGGTGTAAGGACAGTGCGGGGAAGGTGCTATGCAATTCAAATCTTTGAACCTGGTTCTGCCTACCCACCCAACTGTTTAAATACTGCTATGTGGCTTCATCAACAAAACCCACCAAGGTATGATAAAGCATCAATTTGTAGGAGACTTTGTGTTTCTCTTCTGATGTTAGCACCTATTACAGGAATGGATAGTGGGCAGTTAGTGAGCAAGGCAGGACTGTCAAGGAAGAGGAAAACTTTCTGGTTTCTGCTGGGAAGTTACAAAGACTGGTAGAACAGTTATTGCTATTCAATTTGCAGTTAATCTGAAAATCTTGTAAGGTGCAGTCCTACAAATGAACATTTCTACTTGGCCATGAGGAAAGGTCTTTGGTTTCCTTTCTAGTGGGGAAGAACTTGCCTGTAGAAAAAGATACTTCATCCATTTCCCTTTGCACAATTGGGTACAGCTGATTGGAATAATGTGCTGCTAGGTAAATGAGCTCAGGAACCAAGGCTCATTAGCATGAAGCTTTCACCTCCTAAAAACTGGTCCAGACTCCAAAGAGGCCCAGCACAAGGTATGATGAATAGTAACTGTAATAAATTAACTACAGCTCATATAGTGATGAGAAAATCTTAAGATTAATGGTCCTGCTTTGAACTTTGCCAGTACTATGGAATTACTTCAGAGGAGGTTTCACCCATTTTAAGACAATGCTAAATGCTATGCATTTTTATATGCTTGATAGTACTGGGGCTTGAACTCAGGGCCCCCTTGCTAGGCAGGTACTCTACTAAAGCCACATGTCCAGTCCTTTATGCTTTCTTTTTCCAGACAGGGTCTAGATTTTTGCCCAGGGCCAGCCTCAGGCTGCAATGTACCTACCTATGCCTCCCACACAGCCAGGACCACCATAGGCATGTGCTTCCATGAGTGGCTTATTGGTTGAAATGGAATCTCAGTAATTTTTTGCCTGGGCTGGACTGGAACCATCATCCTTCCAATCTTTGCCTCCAGATTGGCTAGGGATACAGGTGTGAGCCACTGTGCCTGGCTAAAGGTACCTCTGAAGAACTTTTGTTAAAAAACTCTTTATAAAGTGTCCATATTAAAAATGAAGAAAAGGGTCAGGCCTAGTGGCATATGCCTATGGTCTCAGCTACAGAAGGAAGCATAGATAGGAGGATTGTGGTTTGAGGCTGGCCCCAGTCAAAAACATAAGACTCCATCCAAAATAAAAACCTAAAACACAAGTGGCTGTGTTGTGGTTCAAGTGGTAGAGTGCCTGCCTAGCAAGTGTAAGGTGAAGTTCAAACCTATTACCACCAAAAAAAGAAAAAAACCAATAACCTACCTTAAGAAACTAGAAAAAGAAAACTAAACCAAAGTGAGAAGGAATGGATGAATGGATTACAGGAAGCAGAAAAATCAAAACAACTTTTTGTTCTTAGAAGTATCAACAGGATTAACTATTCTGGACCAAGAGTAAGATTCAAATTAAGAATGAGATGTGGTACTACTCATTTTATAGAACTAAGGATCATGAGAATACTATAAACAATTGTACATCAACAAGTTAGACAACCTAAAAAGAGACTCACTTCCAAAACCAAATAACAAAATTGGAATGAGCGCTAGTTTTAACTCAGAGGCAGAGTGCATGCTTAGCATAACAGCTTTGCATTCACACTCCAGCACCAAAAAAACAGTAACAAAAAAAACCCCAAAACTGATCAATAATAATTGAGATAGAATTAACCAAAAATCTTCCACAGGCCCAGTATGGTAGTGAATGCCTGCCATCCCAACTACTCAGGAGGCAGAGATCTGGAGGATTATAGTTGAAGGCCAGCACAAAGTTAGCAAGACTCCATCTCAACAAACAAGGGGGTGTGGTGGGGTGGCTCATATCTGTATTCCCAGAAATGCAGGGGACTTGCGTAGGAGGATCACAGCTCAAGGTCAGTAAAAGACCCTTTCTAAAACATAGCCCCAAGTTCAAACACCAGTACTGTTAAAAAATAATAGGAAAGAATTTATCTAAACTGTATTGGTGGTACTTCAGCAATAATAGAAACATAGTAGATGTGTAATTAAATAATAGTCATAGTATTTATCCTTCTGACATGTGTTGTCCTGTCTGTTCAATTTTTAAACAATTCCCAATGAGTTGATTTCATGACTAACATACTGTGACCTACAGGTGGACAATTACACTATAGGAGATTAAATGGCCTAGAGAACCACTGGAAGCGAAGAGAAATAAACCCTAGCCTGTCCTCCCAGGAACCAAGTGAGAAAGAGCTGTCAGCTTCAGAAGTGCCCCATCTATAATGACTCACACCTTCAAACCATGCCCAGAGAGACTCACGGTGCGTACTACTGAAAAAAATCTAAGTGACACCCAAACTCTGGTGATAAGGAATCTGGGAAACATAGTGGAGGAAAGTACACCTGCAGAAAGTTGCAGTGGATGCTAGTCAAACTAATCCACAGAACCCGCCCTCTGTCTCCAATGCAAAGCTGCTTGTACTTATGTATGCACTCTGTGTACTTGGGATAGGGAGAATGAGTGGTCCAAGTAGGTATACACTAGTACATTCACTTCATTCCCATTAAATTTAATATTTTCTTTGATACAGCCTATTATTGCTACTTCAGCAAAGGAAACTCGGGTAAGTTCAATTAGTACAATTTACTGATGGGCTGAAATTCAGAGGAACAAACCACCTGGGAACTCCCAATCCTTTTCCCACCTTCACAAAGAAGCTTACTAAGAAAAAAAATAAGACCAATGAAGAGAAAGACAAAAATAACTTTAACCGCTTCTTTTGATATTTCTTTTAGTTCAGCTTATTTAATGCATCTCACTGAAAGAATTCAAGTTTATTGGTTAAAAGCACTGGCAATTTAGAAAGCAATTAAAATAGAAGTTGCTGAAGAGGTATCGTTTATTGAATTTAAAAAATCTGTTAATTGTACAGCTGATTTAAAAATGTTTGCGTCAGATCACCACAAAGCAGATTTACAAGCAACCAGCAACTGCAGAAAACAGAAAATAAGTTTCTGCGTGATCCTTTTAACTACAAGAAAATGAAGTATTTTTACAAATGTTAATACTATTAAGTTTACAATGGTGCTAAACACCAACAATTTAACCAATACCTCTCAACTTTTACGAAAAAAAGTATGTTTCTCATTTTCTATTCTTGACCCAAATTTTAATTCTTTCCAGTGGAACCAAAACCTCCTGAACCCCTTTCAGTATCATCCAACACCTGAAAGATAGAAAGGTAGTAAGCCAGTTAATTTTAGAGCCTCTTTTACTTCTTTTCCACAGTTCCTAATATAAGGCTTTTATTCCTTACTATATCATCTTTTTAAAAAGGGAGATTACAGGTCTGGCACGGTGGCACACAGCCTCCCAGCACTTAGGGAGGCTGAGGCAGCAGAACGCAGTTACAGGGCAGTCTGGGCTACATAGTAAGTTCAAAGCTGACAGGGTGTGACTTTGTCTCAAAAGAAGATTAAAAAACAAAACAAAACAAAGGGAGAAGACAAAAAAGAAAAAAATTAAATTTTAAAAAGGCTCCATACATTGGATGATTTCAAAATAGCTAAGGAAATACTAAAAAATTCACAGTACATTTAAATTACTATCCAAAAATGCTAAATGATATATACATGAAAAAGTTTAAAGATTCTATAACCAAGATCTTAATTTTGCTTAAAACAGGACTAGCCATATACACTATCTGCCTACAAATAGCATATTACATCCTCAAAGATATTTTCTCTCTTCACTTATAATGCTATCATTTATTCACTACTCAGCTTTTATAATACTTACTTGAACTTCTTCTATTTCTGGATAAAAAATCCGTTCACAAATGAGCTGAGCAATTCGATCACCCTTTTTTACTACCAAGAAGAAAAAATCCAGTAAGAATTAGAAGAGTATTACTGACACAAATAGCAAAAAACTCACTATATTTAGTGAATGTGTCCTAACATACCTTCAAATTTCTCTTTGCCAAAATTGAACAGTATAACACCAACATTTCCTCTATAATCTTCATCTATGACACCAGCTGAAGGAAAAGAAAAATAGTATCTTGACTGATGCTATCAGAACACAAGATTATATCAAAATTATTCTTATATAGCTCTATTTTTTAAATCATTACATTTAAATAGGTGAATCTTGCTCTGGTACTTTGAAAAGTCTAGAAACAAATGACAATTCTGAAATACAAGTAAGAATTTAGAAAATGGGTCATTATTTTGCATTCTGTCTCCCTTATCAAATGGTGACCACTTCCTACTTTAAACTGGGGGTAGTGGTTAATCATCTCCCACCTGTCTACCAACTGCATACTTGCCAAAAAGAACAGAAGAAACTTACGATTTGGGCTTCCAAGACTTCCTAGGAACAGCTTCCCACTACTTTCACTGAAATATGACTGAGTCATAAAGTTGTCAAAAAGCTTGAAGATATGCAGTGGAATACGTCAACACTGCTGCTATTAAGTAGCAGTCTTGCACGTATCAGAACATTCCACTTTAATGATAAAAATGGAGCTGAACTTTTCAGTTCATATTCTTCCTTTCCTTTTAAATTTGAACCATCACCCTTTCTAAAACCATGATCTTGCAGATGTTAGCTCATAAGCTTAATGAGTACACTTATTCATAAGCAAGAGTACACTTTTAAGTGTGTAATTACTATCTGTTTGAGTCTACGAACACAAGGGCAACAGATCTTTGCAGGATACTTGACTCATCCCTGACAGGACCCAGAAAGCTACAACCAAGTCTGGTCAACCAGACATGGTAGCATTTGACTTTGGGCCAAGAATTTAACATGTTTTCATAAACATAAGCACCAATTATACAGGCATGCCAGGCCCTCTCATTTTCGTTTTTTATACGATGACCCTAATTCACACCATACAATTCAAGCAGTTAAAGTACACAATCCATTAGTTTATAGGTATTCAGTCATGCAACCATCACCACAATCAATTTAGAGTATCTTTATTATGCTAAAAATAAATTGTCTACATATTAACAGTCTTTCTCCTGGCAACCCCCCTCCACTATCAATTAATTCTTTCTGCTAGGTTTGTTAAGGGTCAGGTCAGGATTCCTATGACCCTAATGGAAGATAGCTCCATTTTACATCTGACTCCTTGTTAATGCTCTAGCCCCTAAAACAAAAAACAAACCAAAACAACTGCTATGAAGGCAGGGGGAAAGTCAGGAACTGGGGGTTAGGAGTGTGGCTCAAGTAGTAGAGTGCCTGTCTAGCAATCAGAAGGCCCTGAGTTCAAACCCCAGAACTACCACCACCACCAAAACAACAAAGCAGAAGCAGTCAGGAATTTAGCTCAATGAGTGCTAAGGCTGTAAAGCTGGTTGGCCATAGTCCTAATTATTTGAAGGTTCAACAGTAACAACAACAGAAAAGTTTTTAGAACAAAGGTAGTTCTGACTATATATATATTCTTTCAGGGGCTGGCAGAGTGGTCATGTGGTAGAGTGCCTGCCCAGCAAGTGCAAGGTCCTGAGTTCAAACCCCAGTAACGCCAAACAAAAATATTTATCTATATACACACTTTTTCAATTTTCTTATATAGGAAAAAGTGTGTGCATGTTAGAGAGGGGGGAGGCTGTGGAGCAAATTCTTAGTTCTGCCATGGGGGATTACTAAAGTTCAAATAAAACTCTGCTTTATGAATGAATTGCTGAAGACAGGTGAAACTGAACTAAGTGCTTCTTAAAAGGATCTTTATAAAACACTTTTACAAGTTTGTTTTAACAGTGAGAAAGGTAGGTATGAAAATGGGTAGATGATGAGCCTGCCATGCCAAGGAACTAAGACAAGCTGCAAAGCGGTAAGGCAGCTTACTTCCCGTCTGCACTGAAGGAAGCAGTCTATCTTGTCCAGCAGCACAGCAATAAAACTTAGACCAATTCAAAGAACAATCTACCCTTGTTTCTTTCCCCACTGCCAGCTGTCCATTTAGTCCTTAATACTTATGGAAAGAATTGATATAAAAAGATGGGGCCAACTATTTCCATATTATCTATATGGAGCAAGTTTTGACTGCTCAATAATTTAGCTTCGATTTATTGAAGCACCTCAGTAGACAGCATGTTGTTCTATGCTGGAAAACGACCATAGAAGGCTGGGGAATTTCCATGTTGGGAGACTGAGGTACAAGCTATCTCAAATGAATGAGAAAGATGATGTAGACTGACATCCAAACTTTGATTTCTACTTTATTAGAAAAATTTTTTAGTTACCCAAACAATGTCAACACAAAATAAAAGCTACTCTTTCCTTACCTTCCCTGAGGTAAGACAGTACTACAATAATAAAGCTTACATATTACTTTTTTTTTTTTCACTAAAAATATCATAGATGTCCTTTTAGATTAAAAAGCAATCCTGGACATATATCCTTGTATATTAGCGCTTTTATTCTCAAATAGGTTCCAAAAAGCACTTTCCCAGATCAAAAGGCATATGTATTTTCCATTTTAAAGGCTAGATAACTTTGCAAAAAAAACCTGTAGCCTCCCACGCTTCCACCAGTATATGAGAAAGCCCATTTCCAAAACTTATGCAGCACCAAATGGCAGTAATCTTTTAATTCCTGGTCAATATGACGAGTAAAAATAGCATCTCATTGCTTTGCCTCACATTTTCCTGAGGACTAGGATGGACTTTTTCCTTCCATATGTGTATCAGATACTTGTATGTCTTTTTCTTTATTTTATCTACACTTTTTTCTGATGCATCCTTTTTCGTGAGTTGCAAATATTTGTTTTTTTTTTTTAATTAACTTTGTTATTTTCTACCATACAAAAACACTCCCTTTTAAAAAAGCTGGATACTGGTGCTCATGCCTGTAACCCTAGCTATTTGGGAGGCTGAGATCAAGAAGATCAAAGCTCCAGATCAGTCTGAGACCCTATCTCCAAAATAACCAGAGCAAAATGGACTTAGAGGTGTGGCTCCAGCAGAGAGGACCGACTTTGCAAGCATGAAGCCCTAAGGTTGAAATCCCAGCCCGACCCCCAAAAACAACAACAAAAAACACCAAAACAAAACAAAACAAAACAAAAACCCTACCTCCTGTTTTGTAAAAGTCTCTGTAGTCTATCTGTTACATAGTTCTGTGTCAGGAGTACTCAAATAGCTGGATGTTTCTTGGTCCTTCAGGACCAAGTGATTGAGACTTTATGCTCAGAACATGAAAATGAGAAAAGCCTTTAAAGAAGGCAGCTGTGCTTACCACTACACCACCAGTGCCAATTGTGAAAAGCCTTTAACTAACTAAAACATGAAGTTGATTGAGATCCATGAAAATGTATGGCAGAAAAAAAAGGTTTTTTCAATTAAAATTTTTTTAAAGTATGAATACCCATTGTGTACCAAATTCTACAGTTCCAAGTTCATTTGCTACTCAATTGCCATTTGACTTTCAAGAAAAAACCCCAGTCATATTCTTTCTCTGCATAAGGGATATAAGCATCAAGGACAGTTCTCTTCATGAGAAAGCAGAAAGTGTCTTGAAGTTATCACTGGAAAAATCATGCATTGGAACTGGCAGAGTGATTAACTGACTGCAGGCAAAAAAGTTTTACTGTGTCAAGACTTTGGCATGTCATTTGTTGGAAACCTTCTTTAGTGAAAAACTATCCACACCTACCAGATGTGAATTCTGAACGGAATCCTGCATATTCAATTTTCCCTTTGACCCTTATTTACAGCCTGGGATTTCTAACACTATCTCTCTTCAGAAATAAAAACTGCTGCCAACTATGATAAACTTGTGCCTAAGAGACATTTTTAAGATACTCTGCATCCAAGAACACACCACAATGTAATTTTATGAATAGCACTATACCAACCATCAGGAAAACTAACTTTCCAATTACATGCATTTTCTTCCAGGGGGTTGTCCTGAATAGAGTAAAAATTAATAACAAAGTTAGGGAAAAGAAGTTTCCACATTAAAAAAGTTAGGTCCCTGAGAGGGATAGCTTAGGGTTTAATATGTGCCAAGTGCTGTGCCTGATGCTTTACAGACCTTATGAGTTAATCCTCCTACCCCTCAGAAGCGAGCACACTAATTTCTATTGTACAGATGAGGAAACTGAGGCTCAGAGCCTGTGCTCCTTCCACTTCCCTCTGAAATTTCATTCAAAATACATACAACCTTTTATGTCCTTAAGTTAAACTTAAATAAATGATCACAAATGACCATTCTTGACCTGGTAAAAGTATTTTTTGAAAATCAGGATAACTAACTAAGCCCAAGAATGGGCTGTCAATATCAATCCTTGCTTGAGTTTTAAATTCAACTTGGTAAAGAACTACTTTTGGGCATCTCTTTTGCCTCACAGCACCACCTAGTGACACTGAGGAGAAGCTAGGCCTTGTAAAATGTTAGACTAAATGGGAAAGCTGGACAGCCAGTCTGCTGACTCAGGACAGCACTGGATGGTGAGGAGGATGGGGAAGTCTCTTAATTGCAATGGAGGTTAAAAGGGAGTTGGGGTCACATGGATAGCCTCCTGTTTTAAACAGAGATCAACTTGGGCCCATCTCATCTGAGCCAGTTTTTTCATCTGTTAAAAAAGTTTCCTAGATGGGCTCTACAGAAATAGTCACAGGAGAATCTAGCATCCCACTTATCTGAGAGTCAAGAAGAGTCATTTTAGATTAAATACAGATTATCACTACCCAGGCAAAAATCTTTTCTATGACACAGTGTCTAGTCTATTAGTAAAACATAACATGAATTTTACATAATGGTCATTAAAAATTAGATATTATTAAATAGTGTTTAAAACTATATCATAATCATCAATTCAGATTCAGAAATTTCTAAAGAGGCAAGACCCAATAAAAATTCATTTCCTTTTCTTGTCAATAAAATTTGTCATTTGAATACATACTACCTTTTAAGCAAAGTCAAAGTAAATATAAACAGTTGCAGAATTAAAAAACTAAATATATTACCTCCTACATCTATGAAGTGTTTTGCAGCCAAGCCAGAACGTGGAGCTAAAAAACAAAAAAGGAGACATTGGCCATTTTAAGTGGGAAGGGGCAATAATGCATACATTACAGCTGGTGTAATGTAAGCATGACACACTCCAATATATTCATCTTAATTTTGGCAATGCATTCTGAATTAAAGGGTATACTTATCATACTGTATTATCAAGGTTGGAAAGACTAGAAAACTAGGCACTTTGTCAACATGTCTTCTTGCCTTGACCTTTATTTTGCTCCGTACCTTGACCTTCCCCCCCAAAAAAACTAAAACCAGAGTCAATGAGTCTAAAGAGACCAGGAAAGAGCCCATGTTGTTCTTCTAAGGGTTTAAGTACTAGCAGTTCTCCCACGCAGAGCTAACAAGGGCTCACAGTTCCATTTGCCTTTTTATGTTAACTCTAAAGTTACAAAAAAGTATTTATGATTGTGACAAGTTTTAAATTCACTTTCTGGTGACAAGTGACATGCCACAGAAAAATCAAAGCCATTGACTTGTAGTCCACTTTGTTCTAGCTTCTTTCCAATGAGGTACTTTTCCCTTGAGAACACTGAGAACCCTACTCCCACAGGAGGATACAAAACAAGGTTAATTTGATGATATACTCTGGGAGATTTACATCTTTTTTTTTTTTTTTTCTTTTGGTGGTACTGAGGTTTGAACTCAAAGTCTTGCACTTGCTAGGCAGGTAATATACCACTTGAGCCACATCCCAGCCCTCTAGGAGTTTAACTCTCTTAATATAAAATACCATATACAGTCATCCTCAGTCCCTGTCTGCTTTTCTCCTTTCCCTTCCCTTCCCTCTCCTTCCCTCCATACTGGGGTTTGAATAGGGCCTCACACAAGCTCAAGTGGCACTGTACCATTTGAGGTACTCCCCAGCCCTTTATGGCTTTAGCTGTTTTTCAGATAGGATCTTGCCTATCTTACATAGGCCAGCCTCAAATGGACATCCTCCAATCTATGCCTGTGCTGTAGCTGGGATTATAGATATGTACTGCTACACCTGGCCCTCTATTTTTCTTATACAGCAAGTTTTAGCCACTCTCATCACTGTTTTCACAAAGAATCTGATCTCACATGCAATCCAACTCTTGAATGGAGAGTTGGCAGTACCACTAGAAGAAGCTCTACTTACAAATCACCTAGATTTTCAGTTTTTCTGTGAGGAGTTGTGGCCCAACCTTGGGTCAATGTGAGCCTTCTAAAAAAATTCAAATAAGGAGTCAAAAATAAAAAGGGAAGAGCTGAGCATAGTAGTACAGATTTGTAACCCCAGCTACGGGGCAGTTAGTAGGATCACTGTCCAAGGCCAGCTAGGCAAAAGAGGGAAACTCTATCTGAAAAATCAATGGGAGCAAAAAGGGCCGAGGGCAGGGCTCAAGTGTTAAGAAGAAAAAAAGAAAGGAAGCAAAAGCAGGCATGTAAATGGAAGAGCTACACTTGCCCTCACTTTTTTGTTATCTAGGTCACAGCCCAAGCAATATCCCTTCACTTAGCCCAAATGTCACTAAGGCAATAAACCTTATCACAAAGAAAGGGCTTGACAGTTACCTGTTTCTTAAATCACTTACCTACTCTTCCATAGCACCCAGAAGGAAGAGCTATCTGAATGTCTGTTTTTACAAGTGCTTTCTCCATAGATGGTACTGTGTAATCATAGGCACTAAGACATTGGAAGAAAATAATTGGTATTTATTTATAAAGTTACTCTACATTTTTTCCTTGTGATAATGCATGTAGAATTTTCCTAAATATATTTCACAAATTAGCTCATACCTTAGGTTCTATAACCAATCTTACTACAGTGAATTTTCAATTCACCTAAAGAAGTTATGGAAAAAAAAGCAGTAAAATGAAAATGAAAAGCATGAAAATGACAGCATTAGATAAAAATAATTCTCTGAATTTTATGGTAGAGGGAAGAGATGTCAACATTAAGTGTCTTTGTCTCTGAGAACTGTAGGGAAACTGAAGTACTTATTAGCATGAGGAAGCACAAAGGCACACTTTAAAAGGTGAACACTTCACTAACAGCCTGAAAGACAAAAATGAAGAAAGAACCAAGAAAGAGGGCAAATGACAGCTAACACTGATTAGGCCACTGCTCGGTGCCAGGCATAGTTGTAAGCCATGTTACTCTTACAGTTCTCTATGTGATCAGGAAAACCTGCAGAAGAAAAAGAGAAATGGAGGACAAAATAAGAGCAGGAGGTAGAGCTGTATTGCATTTTTTCTGCTTGCCTGGTAGTTCACCAGGCTTACCAAGCTATGACCATGAATCTCCCTGGTTGAGAGAGGGCTAATCACTTTGAACAGCCCTGGAGATGGACACTGCTGAGAAGTGATTCCCCAAGGTCCACCTAGCAAACGCAACTGCTATTACTCCAGCCTCCTCCCGGATGAGATTTTTACAATGAGAAATGAAGTTACTCTGGAGATCTTAATTAAGCCTGGTAAAGCAGTACTGTATTTCCCCTTCTTTCACTACAACTTGCTCTCTTTAAACAGTTAAGCCCTATTTTATTAAACACATTATTTTCATGTCAATTTCAGTATACAAAAAGTCACCTCTGTTTGCTGGGAAAATGCCTAAAAGTATGTTAGGTCAAAATCTCTCCTAAGACTCACAAGAGCCAGACACAATATTTTGGAAGGGTCTAGGCAAACTATATCATTCTTCTTTTATCCACTAAGAGACTGTGCAATCCCTTTTAGCTACAATAATCTATACCTCACTTTTCTCGGTTACTATCTTCATGCACTTCTTTCTCCCTTCCCCTGTAATTATTATTATTAATTGAATTATGTGGGATGCCTTAAAACACCAATGCTCAGGATTTGGTCATATAAACACAAAATCTCCCTCCCAGGATCAGTTTTCACTTATCTTAAAGTTTCTAAGGACTGGGCATAGTAATCAAGCGAAAAAGAGCACTGAATTCAGAGTAAAAAAAATTCAATTACATTCAAGCCCTCGGGCAAATCAATTTCTTTGCAAACTCCCTTACGTGTAATAAATAACGCTCATCTATTTCAAGACTGTGAGGATTAAATAAAGTAGCATATGGGAACGTTTTTGACAGTTAAAAAGCGTTTTACAAATTAAAGGGGAGTTATATTACTGGCATTCCTGTGTTTCATATTCGTACACTTTCTGAAATTCCCAGTCTTTGGGCAGGGCAGATGTAGAGAGAACTAACCCTTTAAGTCAGAAGCAGACACGAGTCCTTTATAGAGGTTCCATGTTGTATTCGCACCTAGACTTGGCTTTCTTTTTTTCCTACTGAGCCTGCTATCACCCTTTGCCTTGACCACCTTTGCCTCCCATTTGGAAAGGGTAGAATGAATACGTGTTGCAAAAACAATGCCTTGTGCACTACCAGGCATTTGCTATTCTGCACGCGTGCCCAAGTTCCTAACGGAATTATGCAAAAAACGAGAGCTAAAATTTTCCACCTTACGTAGATGCAAAAAGGACGTCCTTCTGCAGTCTTTTCAGGCTGGGCTGCATGCAGATGGCCTGAACTTAAGCTAAGAACAACTGTGGGCCTTCTTTGCAGGGGAGGAGCGCTGGTGGAGCGCAGGGCCGCCATTCTTAGGCGCCGGGTTCCGAGGCCCCCACTCACCTGTACAGGTCGTAGCCTGCGGCGCGCGAGGACCCTCGGGTGGGGGCCGTGGCGTGCTCCGAAAGACGCACAAAGCGGAGCCGCATGCCGCCCTCCTCCGCAGGCCGGGTCCGCTTGCTGGGGGAGACGACCGATAGCTCTTCAGAGCAAGGCATGGTGGAGCAAAGACAGAGCAAAAAACGCGGGGAACCGGGTAAGTTTGGACGGAAGCTCACCAAACTCCGAATCTCCCGCCAGCCCCACCCGCCCCCTACGGGACGAGCCCACTACTCAGAGAGGGGAGGTGGGATTCAAATTTGGGGCTGAACTCCTCGTCAGAAAGCAGGCCTGGGATCGCAAGTTATTGGCCCCTTTTAAACATTCCAAGCCCAAAGCTCCGGTTTAATGTAAAGGACAATCTTTACTGGTCTCGTCCACAAATTATGGAAAGCGACGCCCCCCCCCCCGTCAGGGACACGAATGAACTCGCTCCCGCGCGCAGGACCACGCCTTCCTACAGTCCATCTCCCACCTTCCAGCCGCCCGAGGTGCAGTTTCCCCGGCCTTTAGGGTTCCGCCCCAGCCTCCCCCGCGTCTTAGCCTTCGCGCCCCCGGGGCCCGGATCCCAACTTCACTGGCTCCTCGGCACCCTAGGCTCAGACGGCCTGCGATGTACAGTGACCCGGGCGACCCAAGCCGAGTGGCGCCGGGGTCCGGGCTTCGCCCGGAAATGCCTGCTGTGTCCTTCAGCACTGAGCGGAGCAGGGACGAAAGGAAACGATAATGGAGCACGAGGCGCGGGCGGAGGGAACTCATTGCCCCGAGTTTTGGTGCAGCGCTTGTCGGCAGTTCCGGACGCATCCGGGGCTGCTGACCCCGGAAGCAGTCGTCCCCGGACGACTAACGACGGAGCACCGAGGAGACTCGGGACCCGCCAGGGCAAACCTGGTACTGGGCGACCCGAATTGTCGTCGTGCCTTCCGCTGTGTCTGCTTCCATTTTTTTCCGAGAGCATCCGCCGGGGCCATGCCCTTAGTCCTCGACCCAGTTACCTAATGCGGCACTGCCCGCCGCCATGCTTCCTCCGCTGCGCTCGGGTCCCCGAGGCCCCCAAGCGACGGAACCGCATCTCGGTGTCGCGCCTCAGCCCGAGCTCGAGTGCCCTGCAGCGCCCAGAGTGCAAGGTCACATCCAAGCACGTGGGAGCAGAGGGTCCCACAGGACTGCGGCGACGACCACCCAGCCCAAACCCTGGCACTCGGCGATGCTGGAGCCCCGTGGGGATGGGTAAATAATTTTCTAGATAACGACGTAGGTTTTTCTAAAATGCACGGATTTCCAATTATCTCCGGATCCGCCATAAAAACGTGGAAAGCAAACTTCATACACGTTCATTTTCAAACTAAATAAAAGGCTAATAGGGCAAGTCTTAGAGAAACGGCACCTAAAACTGTTAGGATGACATTGAAGTTTTTTCTTCTTTGCTGTGCCTTCTTTCCTTCCAGGCCCACTTTAATTGGCTTCTTAAATGTTGGGATTTCCTCCCCCCGGGTATCACACGAATTACCATTTTTAAAAATTCTGTTAACACCACTTATTAGTACAATCTGTACTTTTTTGTATTTGTTTTCTTGCTCAGTGTGTGTGTGCTGTAGTAGATTTCAGGCTCCCTGAGACCAAGGACCTTCATTAGTGTCTAGCTTAGTGCCTGGCTCACAATGATTGCTTGATAAATACTTGTTATGTGAATGAATAATGGTGAGCTCACTGTCTAGTTCATCAAACCCCTGTATATTATTATTTCTCAAAGTCTTGATTTTTTTTTCTGTCCATTTCTTTAATTTTTAAGCAAAGACTTTTTCCATGTAATGCTTTTTCAAGGTCTACAATAGAAACAGTTGCCCTGCCCTACCCCTCCACAACCCCCACCCCAAGTGTCAGACTTTAGGGCCAACACACCCCAAGTTTTTTGGCTCTTCCTCCTGGAATTTACTTCCCCGTTTCTAGATGATGTATTGCTACTTTTTTAAGTAGCACAGAATTTAGCTTCTGAGTTAACAGTAGTTGAGGATTTAAGTCACTAACACCACCCCACAAAGCCATTCTCCTAATAGTTTTGTAGGATGTTTGAGTGAGTTGCTATGTACTTTATGTGATTATGTAAATATCATTTACTATTGAGTACTTCCTTTTTATTTTTTTAACACCTGTCTCTTCAAGTGAATTGCCTCATTTTTCCATTTGTTTTTCTTGGTGCTTCATTTAATTTACTTATTGCTTGTTTTAGTCCAAATACTATAGTGGACCCAGTACTTCAAACATGCATCACATCAAAGTGGAACACCAAAACACATCAAATTGCCTTATCAGTTTCCTTTTTCCTGTAGAAACTCCTTCCTCCATTTTCTTGCTCCAGCCTATGCCAGTGACTGTAGTGCTGTTGAACAGCTGTCACCTGGAACTTCCCTGTGCTCCTCTCTTGTTTTGCCGCCTTGTTTTTAGGGATGGAGCATCTTCTATAGTTTACTTCCTCACTTTGCTGAGGCTTTCTCTACTGGTTTTCTAAGAAAGTTCACATGAGAGTAAATGCTTTAGTTCTTGATTTTCCTAAAATGTGATGATTATAATGCTCCCTTTTCCTAGTCCCATAACAAAATGTCACTTTATTCAAGACCTTTAGAACCAGGAGTGATTTCTTCCCATCTTATCTCCAGTAACACTTACTGTATCATTTATTAGTCATTTAGTCATAAACTCCCATTGCGTAATCTTCACTTGTGTGTGTATTTTATCTTTCAGATTAGAGAGCCATAAACTTTTATGACTCCTTTAAAGCACCTGGATACAGACAGTGTTTATTGTCACTTTTCATCTGAGGTTATAATAGATTTGAAAGAGAAAAGGCCATTGTCCACCTGAAAAAAGAGTAACAGGTTAGGATTCTGAGCCAGAATAAGCATGTAATAGGACATCCTCGTAACAGTGGAGATAAAACTCGATGTAAGCATACACTTTAAATTCAAAGTCCTTTATCTGAACATAGCTCTCAGTTACGCTTATGAATCACATAAATCTAGTGCCAATTTGAACCTTTTGAGAATGCAAGCAGGTACTTTGCAAACAAAATTGTCTTTCCTTCCTTTGCCATTATAGGGATTTCTCTCTTCTAAGAAAGATGTAAGCTGAGTGCGGTGGCTTGTACCTATAATCCCAGCCATTTGGGAGGCAGACATAGGAGGATTAAGGTTTGAGGCCAGCCCAGGTAAAATAAAGAAGCTAATGCGACCTCATGTAAAAGAGCAAGCCAGGCATGGTGGTTCATGCTTATAATCCCAGCTGCTTGGGAGGCATAGGTAGGAGGACTGAGTCTAAGGCCAGCGTGCACAAAAAGTATGACACACTATCTGAAGAATACCTAAAGCAAAAAGGGTTGGAGTTGTGGCTCAAGCAGTAGAGCAAGGCCTGAGTTCAAGCACCAGTTCAAGCACTGTATTTTGAATTACAAAATACAGTATACATGGTGGGTATTTCATGCCAGTATATCCAAAGTGCTTTAAAAACATTAACTCTTGTAATCACAACTACCTGGATGAGTAAGTGCTATATTATCCCCATTTTATAGGCAGGGAAACTAAAGCACAGAGAGGTTGAATAGCTTGCCCAAGATCACCAGCTCACAAGTAGAAAAAGGTGAAGCCATGATTGAACTTCAGGTAGCCTAGGGTCAGAGTCCCTGCATAGGTTTCTATGTGCCCTACTGAGACTGGCAACTCAACATTGAGCCTACTACTGCTTGTGTTCTCTAGGTCTGGAGAGATATTTGAAGTGAACTAATTAACCTGGCATTCTTAGTTTCACAGTTGATCATGACCTCCTGGAAACTTTACTTCTGACATTTTCTGATTTTCTTCCCACCTCACTACAGGCCCCTTCTCAGTCTCATTTCTGATCCTTCTGAACTTCTTACCGCTCAAGACAAAAAGCTTTAAAGTCTTATGTACTTCCTCCTCTCGGGTCTACCCATATCAGAAAATATTCTCCTCCTAGACACCAGCTAATGCTTTACCCATTTGATTTTTACTCATTGCATAGGTTGCTGCACAGTTATATATTTTTACTGACCTGTTAGTTGTATGCTTCCTCTACTAGCATGAAAGCTCTACAGTAAATTTAAATACGTGTTAATTTGGGTTCCTTTCAGATGTCATTTTCATCTTTTTTGCCCTTTCTTGTCTTCTTTAAAACTCCCTAAATGTTTTTTTTTTTTTAAATCTCACTTTCTTGAATTACATGTTTTACTCTGGTTCTATGATTTTAAATAAATTAAAATTTATCAGAGTTTAAAATCTACAATTAATCAAAACTATTCTTCCCTGATAACATTAGAACCTCAGAGTGCTTTAACTCTGTTCATCTTTCTTTGCTTTATGTTCAGTGGCTGTCGAGCATTTTAAGTGCATCTTTTTAGTCTTAATGAGTAAGTAATGCTCATTGTTACTGTTTCTGTAGCCATCTTCAACAGTGTTTGCCCACACTTTCATCAAGTTTTTTGCTGTTCTTTCCGTATCTCAGACCATCTTGGATCACTGTTCTTTGCACCCATGCCTCCTATGAAGGGAAAGTTTCTCCTGGTAGATGTACTTTCTCAAGTTTTTTGAGGGTTTAAATAAAACTTCTTTTTCTTTTTGGTGGTACTGGTGTTTGAACTCAGGGGCTTCATTTTTCTTAGGTGGGCACTCTACTATTGTGAGTCACTCTGCCAGCCCAAAATAGAACTCTTATTTTTTTTTTTAATTATTCATATGTGCATACAATGCTTGGGTCATTTCTCCCCCATGCCCCTGTCCCCTCCCCCTCTCCCTCTCCCCCCTCCCTCTCTCCCCACCCCCTCGATACCCGGCAGAAACTATTTTGCCCTTATCTCTAATTTTGTTGAAGAGAGAGTATAAGCAATAATAGGAAGGAACAAGGGTTTTTGCTAGTTGAGATAAGGATAGCTATACAGGGAGTTGACTCACATTAATTTCCTGTGCATGGGTGTTACCTTCTAGGTTAATTCTTTTCGATCTAACCTTTTCTCTAGCTCCTGGTCCCCTTTCCTATTGGCCTCAGTTGCTTTAAGGTATCTGCTTTAGTTTCTCTGCGTTAGGGCAACAAATGCTAGCTAATTTTTAGGTGTCTTACCTATCCTCACCTCCCTTGTGGCTCTCGCTTTTATCATGTGCTCAAGTCCAATCCCCTTGTTGTGTTTGCCCTTGATCTAATGTCCACATATGAGGGAGAACATACGATTTTTGGTCTTTTGGGCCAGGCTAACCTCACTCAGAATGATGTTCTCCAATTCCATCCATTTACCAGCGAATGATAACATTTCGTTCTTCTTCATGGCTGCATAAAATTCCATTGTGTATAGATACCACATTTTCTTAATCCATTCGTCAGTGTGGGGCATCTTGGCTGTTTCCATAACTTGGCTATTGTGAATAGTGCCGCAATAAACATGGGTGTGCAGGTGCCTCTGGAGTAACCTGTGTCACAGTCTTTTGGGTATATCCCCAAGAGTGGTATTGCTGGATCAAATGGTAGATCAATGTTTAGCTTTTTAAGTAGCCTCCAAATTTTTTTCCAGAGTGGTTGTACTAGTTTACATTCCCACCAACAGTGTAAGAGGGTTCCTTTTTCCCCGCATCCTCGCCAACACCTGTTGTTGGTGGTGTTGCTATGATGGCTATTCTAACAGGGGTGAGGTGGAATCTTAGTGTGGTTTTAATTTGCATTTCCTTTATTGCTAGAGATGGTGAGCATTTTTTCATGTGTTTTTGGCCATTTGAATTTCTTCTTTTGAGAAAGTTCTGTTTAGTTCACTTGCCCATTTCTTTATTGG